TTCACCTGTTTACCATCTTTGATGCAATCCATCCATCATCTTCTCAGGGTCTCTTTCCTAGCACCCTCTCCTGACATACGGTCTTCACCAGGTCACCCACTGCATGTGTCCAAACTAGCAAAGTTGTGCTTCCTGGATTTTGACAGCCACAGCACAGACTTTGACTTCCATCCTAATACTTTCATTTCAAAATCCATCTGTTTGTGTAGATCCTCTTGTGGTGCAAAGACATCTCATCTCAAACACCTGTATGTGTTGAACCTGCCAGTTCTTTATCGCCCAGGCTTTTGCACCATACAACATTGCGGGGCGCATCATTGTTTTATGCAATTGGGCTTTCAGTCTCAATGGCATTTGCTTGTCATAGACAACTCCTGAGATTTTATTGCACACTCTTCCAGCACTCCTCAGTCTGGACTGTATCTCATGTTCAAGCCTGCTGTCTTCCGTGACCCAGCCACCAAAGTACTCAATTGGTCAGTCTGGTTTAGCTGCACTCCATTAATCTCTACATCCAGTTTCCCTGTGGCATCTCTACCAACCCATCTGACCGCAGTCTTAGGCTATGTCTATACTACCGTGGTAAGTCGACCTACGCTACGCAACTCCAGCTATGTGAATAACGTCGAGTTACCATGGGGTCTACACCACAGGGGGGTTGTGGTGGCCATGTCTGTCACACTGTGTTGGGCCAACACAGGCAACCCTTCACTGGCCTCACCCCACATGAGACCCTGGGAATGGGGGGCATACTGGGAATGGGGCTATAGCACATATTGCTATGACCATTTTGCCTTGTGGGAGGCTGGTCTGGTGTAATGTAGAGATGGCCTCTGGATTGCCTAAATTATGTTGGGTGTTGCTTTGACCCTTGTAGCAACTCAGAGGTGGAATCATGCAAAGACGTTTTTAAGCTACCTTTGACCCAACTTCCCCTGGACTGTGCTGGTCCTAAGCGAAGACAAATTAATAGTCTACAGATATTTGAATTGGGTAAAAAAAAAACAAAGATGGAGAGGAATTCTTTAAGGTGGTAAAAGAATTGGGGGTGGAGTTAAGAAAAAGAAGGTTAGGCTAGATAAATCCTTCCAGGCAGTGAGACACTGTAGAATAGTCTCCCAAAGGCAGTAAGTGGTGGAAACCTCATGGCTTGTGACTTTTAAAATAGCCTGGACAAAGCACTAGACCATGTTCTATAGGGAACAGTGCTGCATTGGCCCCTGGGAGATGGGCAGAGTGATTAAATGGGTCTCTCATCGCCAATATCTATGACTCTGTCAGTCACAATATTTGTGGGAAGTCCCCACTGCAAGGCATGATGCAGGGGATTTTCCAACACTGGAGTTCTCAGCTTTTTTCTTCTGGCACCTCAAAGTTCAGCTGCCTTATTCTCTCTGGCTCCACATCCCAGAGGGGGGCAGAGGGAGAATCCCATTCACTTTGTCTCCCACTCCTTCATCTTCTGGGAGAGGGGAACTCCTCCCCGCCAGTGAGGAAATTTCACTCCTCAGCTATCCTGGCTGCTGCCACTTGCTCCGCCCTCACCAGATGCTGCTGGAAGGGATGGCTCCAATGTTTTCCCTTGTTACCAGATTTGCCCATTACTTTGGGGTATGCTCATTTATTCGGGTTACTCTTCTGGGGGGGGTGTCTGTAATTCTATCAATGTACTGCTTGTGTCACGTGTGTTTTCATATGGAGCTCTACTTCTCCCGTATGCAAATCCCCTCCCAATGGAGCTATCCTGCAGGACCCAGGTTCCCTAGGGCTGAGTTCCTCCAGCCCCAGAATTGGATGAACACCCACCCACCCACACATACTTTAACAGAAACAACAAGGAGTATGGTGGCACCTTAAAGACTAACAGATTTATTTGGGCATAAGCTTTCGTGGGTAAAAACCTCACTTCTTCAGATGCATCTGCTAGTCTTTAAGGTGCCACCAGACTCCTTGTTGTTTTTGTAGATACAGACTAACACGGCTACCCCCTGATACTTGATACATTAACAGAGCAAGTCTGAGCAGACCAGGTCAATCAGCACTTTCAAGCTGACCCCTTCTATGTCCCTGGGCTCAATGGACTGGGTCAAGCAGCACTTTCAAGCTGCCACCCTTATGTGTCCCAGATTCAGCACGTCCCTATCCCCACTCTCACCTCAAAATTGTACTGGTAGTAACCTACTTGATGAGCAAAGCCCACAGTATTTTGGGCACTGCAGGGATCTTTAGTTTAGGTAAAAGAAGTGTTGCTGCAGAGTAAATGGGGGAAGCTAAAAACACAAAAGAATAAAGTTCAGCAAGAGAGAGAGAAGCAACCAGCTTAACCATAAAAGTTATTTATTGAATAATAGTGATAACTACACAAGGAGAGCTAAACCAACATAACATACATTATTAAAGGTTAATACCTAAGGTAGAAAGGAAAACAGAGAGAGAGAAAGAGGAGGATCTCACTCACTCCATGAGGCTTGAACTGGTCGGGGTTCCCAGGTGATGGTGGTAGCTCAGGGTCCTGAGTGCTGGAGACAGGCAGAGCCAGCACGATCAGTCAGGAGATGGAGTCCCAGTGGAACTGATGCAGAGTTTGGGTCCATACATCAGAACACTTACTTGAATATAGGTAGGGTTTTTTGTAGAGAAACAACAATGGTTCAAGGGAGAACACTAGATTTGTTTATGGGTAAACTGATGACTCAAGGGTTTTCTTTAGGCTAGACAATAGGAGCTGAGCTGATCACTCTTGGCTATGGGTGGTGTTTTCTTCCAGGGAGCTCACAATGCAACTAGGCAGCTTCAGGTTTCAGAGTAGCAGCCGTGTTAGTCTGTATCTGCAAAAAGAACAGGAGTACTTGTGGCACCTTAGAGACTAACAAATTTATTAGAGCATAAGCTTTCATGGGCTACAGCCCACTTCTTCGTTATGCATCCGAAGAAGTGGGCTGTAGCCCACGAAAGCTTATGCTCTAATAAATTTGTTAGTCTCTAAGGTGCCACAAGTACTCCTGTTCTTTAGGCAGCTTCAGTATTTTGGATATCAATCAAGGATTCATTACTAGAATTGGTCTGGTAACTGCTGAGTTGGGTGTGTGCAGGCGTAGGTTCATTAACATCTGGAGCAGAAATCCCCCATGATGCAGTGCTTCCCTGCTTTTCTGGTCCTGGAGTTCAGTGTGGTTCTCTGTTCTTTATTCTGTATGCTAATCCCCTGAGGCTAGGGGAGTTGTCTCTGTTCTCCATTCTGTATGCAAATTGAGATGGCTTAATCTTGTCACCCTTATCAGGAGGGTCTAGGTGTGTCTCCCAACGCCCTTCACTGCTCTCTGCAAGTCTTTTCTCTGATCGGTTTTGGTTCAAGCAGAGAGCGGGGAGGTATCCCTCATGAGTCAGACAGGCCAGACACTGTGCCCTGGTTCCCCAAAAACACAGAGCTGACTGCTATCACCCTCTCCTGTTTCTTGGCTAGATGTGTTGGTGAGTTGAATTCCCACCTGGCAGCTTCCCATGGCTTTTACTCACAAACAAAAGAATTGGTTAAGAACTCTTCAGCACCTCTCAGGTGCTGAGCATGGCATAAGTCCATAGCTGCGTACACAGAGGTAGAACTGTGGCTTCTGGGTAAGAAGCCAGAAACTTTAGCTCAAAAAACACAGGCCTCTGACACTTGAGCTAAAGGGGAATCTTCTTTAGCTGTTAGTAGTAGAGCTTTTATCCTCTGTAGGTATCTCACTCCAATGCCTCCTCAGAGTTGGGTAGGAATATCTACAGCCGTGTAAATGAAGAGTCACTCCATTGCAGTCAATGGGAGTTTGCCTGAATAAGGACTTCAGGATTTGACCTTATAGAATTAAATGTCTAGAGCCCAATTCTACTCTCATTCACACCAGTTTTACACTGATGTAATGCTGTTGACTGCAATAGAAATACTCCTGATTTGCTCATGTGTATGTGAAATTAGAATCATGCACTCTGTGACTCTCAGTGCATTACATTTGCCAATACAGTGAGACCAAAACAGCCCAGACTTCAGCTGACAATTCAAAGCAGAGATGGAAGGACAGAGGAAGGGGTAAAACTTGCAGTGTCCCCCGCCCCTTGTACCAGGGCCTGGAGCAAGGCTCTCAAACGGCAACAATTTCAGCAGGTGAAATTAAAAAAAAAAGATTCAGATCTCATGCTGGTGTAAGTCAGGAGTAGCTGCACTGATCTCACTCTGATTTTACATGTATATAACTGCACTGACTTCAGTGGAGGTACTCCAGTGAGATCAGAATCAGGGACGATGCAGTCACACCAGTGAGAGTGAAAAAGCAGGCCTTCTGTGTCTCATTGGCAACGCACAGTAAAATCCTCCAGCGCCGGGTTTAAAAACTGTCCCAATTGTGTGACTCTCCATCCAAATGAGAGAGACTAGGCATGCCTGCCAGAACCCTGGAGGCTAAAGCTCTCCCCCATTTACGGAGGCAATGCATCATCTCCTAGAGCAAAGTATGTTCTCTCCAGTATTAATAGACTTACTGAGATGCGTCAAAAACCCCGGCAGAGACACCGAGCAGCACAGCCTGCCTGCCACAGAAAGATTTACAATCTCTGTGGCGTATCAGTGGGGAACAGGACAGTGTGTGTGCACACACACAGACAAAGCAGGAGGAAGGTGAGTCCAACCCCCAGCAGCAGGGCCATCCTTCTGCTGCTGGATTTTTCCAGCCAAAGCATCTTACCGTCTCTGCTGCAATTTATGGAAATTGATTTCTGACGTGGGGCTTTTTCTGCTACAGCAGGGACCCACCGAGTGGAGGAGGCAGAGCTGCAGTCAGGGCAGGAGAAGGGAGGGAGGAAAGGAGCTTGGCACAGGGGGAAAGCCAGAAAGAGAGAAGGGCACCGAGGTACTACAATGATGGGGCAGTTATAACTGAGACAGATGAGAGAAGGAGCAAGGGAGAGCAGAGATCCCAAGTGAGTCACAGGAGGGCAGACAGGCACAGAGAGGGAGCCCAGAGAGCGCTCTGCCATCCCAAGAAAGACCTGCCCAGCTGGACTCTTCACCATGAGCATGAGGGAGACCTGTGCCCAGGAAGTGGGGCCAGGGGATGGGGAGGAAAAGCGGAGCGAAGGCACTCAGAATCCGGACAGGAGGCAGCGCGAAGTGGAGCTGCGGGATAAAGCCATCCTGCAACAGAAGAGGCGCCTGAAACAGGCCACCCAGTTTGTGCACAAGGATTCTGCTGACCTGCTGCCCCTGGATGGCTTGAAGAGGCTGGGCACCTCCAAGGATCTGGTGAGTCAAGTGGGACCCAGTTTGGAACTGGATGCTCCTCTCCTCCTAATGATACCAGGGCATCCCCCTAATTTGGGAAAAGAATCACAGGTCCAGGCACAACAAACAGCCCATCAGAGTCATTATAGGGCTGGGGTGGGTGAAGGGAAAGGAGATGTCCCCTGCTCTCTGCATCTTTCTTCATTAGTCTAACCCCCTCCATAGCCAGGAGGAAGTAGAAGGTAGGGGATTCCCCCTAGCTTGCAGATCCAGCTCACAGCCCACAGTACACAAATATGTGTAACTTGTATGGGGATTCTGTGTATGTTTTACATGTGTGTTTACATGCTGGACTGACATGAACCTGCATGATCTAATACGGAAGTGGTCCCTCTCATATTCTGCAGTAAACGCACCCACCAATCCCTGAAACTTTGGGGTCTTGTGTCGAAACTTTTCACTTTTCTGTGCAGTTCCCCAATTTTGGATTTGCTTTGACACATTTCCCCTGGGGGTGAGTGTGGGGCAAGAGCAGGGGGTGAAGTTGGAGACAAGGCATGATTTCCCCTGGGTATCTATAACAAGGACAGGGAATGATTTCCCTTGGGATACCCCACTGATGAATTAAGTACATCTTCCCCATCCCATTGCACACTCTCACTTTTCCCCACTACCCAATGCTCTTCATAGGGTACCACAATTGATCCGGGATTTGGGTTGAAATCCTGTTTCCCAGTGGAGTGCATGGCTTTGCTTCCAGCTCCTTTCCCCTGCAAGTTCCAGATTGTTTTGCCAAACTGATAAGGGCTCCTGCAAAAAGTAGGTTGAGTTGCCTGGAGTCACTGACCAGACCCAAAGAAATCAAGGGCTCTGAGGTGATCTGATTGCTGGTGAGATGGGGCAGCCCCTAGGCCTGGCAAGTACGGGGCACTATGTTAACTATCTCTGCTGCGGGGTATTTTCCTATAAGTTTACTGCGCTCTTGTTAGGCCTTATTGTTACTAGTGATGGTGCTGTCTTGCCTAGGAGCCGGGGCATTAGAGGGAATCCAATTCCTGGGCATTCCAGGCTGCATGAAAATCAATCTCACAGGTTTATATTGATTTCTCTGTTGATTTCTGATTCTTCTGGGCTCAACCATCCCACCATGTGCTGGCTGGGGATCAGCACCATGTCAGACTCAACTGTGTCTGTGTCTCTGCTTTGGGCCATCCCTCACCACCTTCTCACGCAGGCTGAGTCAGTTGCACAGCGATTCCTAGAGCGCACATTCAGACCATATCAGCCTCGGTGTCCACTCTGCTACTGGCTCTAGTATGGGAAACCCCTCCCTGCTCCCAAAGCGCTGTCATCACCCATGTATTTAAGCAAGCCGTCCCAGCCCTACAATTTGGTTATGAACACATGAAATTCCATTGCTGGGCATCGACAGCACTCTAGGGCCTAGATTTGTGCTCTCCCAGCCCCGGCCAGTAGCGAACAGAGAGCCTGCTGCACAGGCACTACTGGGACTGACCATCTCAGTCGCTGGGATGGAGGGAGTTACAGCTGTGAGTCGGTGACCCTTCAACAGGGGCATCTCCTGACAGCTCCAGCCCCCGGGGGAGCAGGCTAGAGGGACCATCACTGACTCTCCTTGAAACCTAGAGATCTCTGTCAGTGTTTCAGGGAACTGCACTGTAACAATCTTGGGGTTCATTCAATGATAAACCAATGAATGAGAAAGGAATAAAGCTTTAATAAAACACACCAGAGTGTCTCTCTAGTGAACTACTGCACAGAGTCCTGGGTTCCCAAGACCCTGGTCCCCCTCCAGGGCACATCTCCAAATTCCCACACAACACAGTCCCTTATGAGGGAGCGTCTCCAAATCACAATCTGTCATAAACATACACCTACATGCACCTGTATTTCCTCTCCGTGGTCCGCTCTAGGAGTGCCCCGTCAGGTCTCCAGCCTCCAGCCATCACCTGTCTCTGACAGAGACCCTTGTCCCACTCCCTTCTGTCTGGGGGTATTAAGGCTGCACGGCCCCCTGCCTTACATTGTGATATCCCCTGCAAACCAGTCTACCTACAGGCCAGCCCCTGTGCTGTGCTTTCTCCCAGAGGGCTATGAACAGTGCAGTGCCAGCCATTACAAGTTACCACCCAGCTCTCTCTCAGCAGACTACATTTTAAGGACAAAATAAGTATCACAGAGAAAACATAAAGACAATAAGGTTCCTATGCGCTTACTAACAAACATGCCAGGAGTCGCCCATCTTCCTTATGGGACCCAACATCCCCTTCCAATCCTTCTGCAAGTGCTGGCTCCCACTTTGGACAGAGGGTCCTGTCCATTTGCTGAAGCAAAATGAAGGGCCTGTGTTAGTCCAAGCTCAGCTTTTTACATCAAAAACCTTTTCTTTGTTTGAGTCTCTGGAAAACCCACTTTGGACCAGTACATGCGACACCTTAGGGCAGGGATCAGGAACCTTTGGCACGCTCTAACTCTCCATGTGATACAGGGAATCAGCTGACAGCCTAAGCTCAGGGAGCAGTATCTAGTTATCACCTACCCCTCCTTTTGCCTTATCGTTCCTATATCTCTGCAACCTCTCGCTGCTGAGGATGGGGAGAGTTCACTCTTGGCCTACTCAGGGCAGCTCCTTACTGAGTCAGCAGAGGGTAGAAACTATAGGGAAACATGTCTCACACCTTCCCCCTGCACCATCCATCAGACATGATTATTTATTGTGGTAGCATCCAGAGGGAGATCGAGGCTGCATTGTGCTGCGTGATGTACAAACACATAGGAAGATACAGTCCCTGCTCTGAAGAACCTACAGCCTAATGTAAGACTTTAGCTGTAGTTTCATGTCTAGGAACTTGTAGCACTGCCTAGCCAGGGGACCCATTCTGGCTGGTTGTGCACCGACTCCTTTTCATGGACAGTTCATCAGACAAACGTAGGCCTTTTTTCTGCTTGAAAATTGTTCATGAACTGACCCTGATTGGTCACTTAAGTCATGTTATTGTATCTGATCTACCATTGGCTGACTGAAATTTTTAAACAGGTGAATAGGGAGTAAATTATACAAACTTTCAGACATGAAGGTTGGGATCTGTGATAAAATCATGAAACTTTTAGGATTCGTGACCATTCTCACAAACAAAAACAGTTGTATGAATACTTGAACAACGAACACTATGACCCCACCAGTAACTGGTGGTGAACTCACTGTTTGTGTGAAAATATTTGTGAATCTCTTCCTGTACTAGTTAGCCAGCTCTAGGGCCTGATTCTCCACTCACTCTGGTTTTACACTGGTGTGACTGCACTAACTTCAATAGAGGCACTCCTGATTTATACTGGGGTGTAGTGGGGCGGTCACCCCACTCCGTCCCTGAAAAGGTTAAAAGCCAGCCCTTGGAGAGGGCTAGGGCTGAGAGCCAATAAGAGAAGGCAGGGAGGCAGCCAATCAGGGCCCGGCTGGGCCCTATAAAAGAGCTGCTGGGCCAGAAGGCAGGCAGTCTCTCTCTCTAGCTTTGGAGAGAGTCTCACTCCAGCCTTGGAGTGGGAAGGATCTGGCTGCCTGGAAGCACAGGGTACCCTGGGCAGAGTTGGGGAAGGGCAAGAGGAGCTGGGGAGCTCCAGCCTGGCAACTCCCCAGGCTGAGGCCTTGTTAAGGGCTTAAGGAGGTACTGGGGCTGCAGAGGTGCAGCCTGGGGATAGGCAGAGGCAGCTAGTCCAACCCCCTTGCCAATTATAAGTGGCCATTACAGACTGCAGTTTGCCCCAGAGAATGGAGGCTAGAGGACGACTGGCACTAGTCACTGAGGCAAGGTGGGCATAGGGGGAGGGGGTTCCCCAGGAAGGGAGACCCAGAGTGTGGGGGCAGTGCTGTGGGGCAGCACCCCAAAGTAAGGGGCTCCGGGGTCCGGGAGGGACACGGGGGGCCTGAGGCAGGAGAGACACCGGCGAGCAGGAGGCGCCCTGAGTGCTGGAATGAGCTAATTCCCAGACGACCAGCAGGAGCCGCTGTGGCAGTGAGTGCTCGATCCGCTACACGGGGCGAGAGGAAAAGCAAACCTTAGATCTCCTGGAGCGATGTGAAATGTACAACAGCCCCAGGTACTTCACGTGCCTGTGGGAAGATGTATTTTTGGCTGAAAATGATCACCCACTGTGAACTCTGTAGGTCATCATGGTACCACAGACAGGGAAATAACAATGATAATATAATACCTACCTCTTATATAGCGTTTTTAATCTCAAAGCACTTTACAAAGGAGGCAGCATCATTAGCCCCATTTTACAGATGGGGAAACTGAGGCACACAGCTGTGAAGTGAGTTGCCTGAGGGCACACAGCTGGCCAATAGCCAACCTGGGAATGGAGTCAGGAGACCTGGGTGTCTATCCACTTGGCCACATTGCCGGTAGGGCCATGCAGCATTCTGTGCATTCCAGCTTGAGGGCAGAATCTCCATTCAGTCATGTCCTAGCCCCATGTGTAACACTGACAGACCCTGGTCGTCGGGATTGAACCTGGGGCCTCTGGAGCTCAGTGTGTGAGCCTCTACTGCATGAGCTAAAAGCCATATGGCCTTTAGCTAAGGCTGTAGAGCAGACTCATTAATCTCTCTCTCTAAGTAGTCTTGGTGCCACTAGATGGGACAGAACACCAAACCCAGGAGGTGTGCGGGTTACAGATGCACCTCTGTCTCATTCCTGATCTCCTTTCTGACTCTCTCCTGGATCATGGGAGGTGAATAAGTGCCATGGGGCAGATTCTCCCCTGCAGAGTTTGAGAGATCTTGATGTCATAGAAAAGTTCACAGTGGGGTGTTACTTTGCCAGCACCCCAAAATACACCTCCCCACAGACACCTCAAGTACCAAGGATCAGTGTATCCTAAATGAATCAAACAGTACCATAGAATCCATGCTTGAATAATAAGAGTATAGCAGTAGGAATATACTACTGACCACCTGACCAGGATGGTGACAGTGCTTGTGAAAAGCTCAGGGAGACTAG